AATGGAGTCTACCACAGTTTGGGTTCACTTTTTCAGAAGCAATAAGGCTTGCATGAAGCTGTTTACCAGTCAGTGTTGGACCTGGTTTCTGCTGAAGGATTTCTCAAATGGAATGGATAGAAATTGGTGCATCTTACTTGTCTTGAGCTGTTCCCTTGCATCTTGGAGCTTGCAATTGGATAATCTTTTGATAATCTTGTTGAATTTGAAATTAAAACATGAAACAAAAATACAGCCATTAGCCAGGAAATTTTTACTTTGTGATTTGGGGCAAGACTGTCTGTTCTCCAGAGCTGGTCAAACACTTCCTGACCAAAACACTGGTTGGAAATAAGGTGGTGGTGTTGATGTTTGTTTTTAGTTTTAGGTGTGATGTGGATTGTACTATTAACCTACCTTCCAGAGTACAAAGTTTATCTTACTGATTGATGAGTTTATAATTTGGACCTGGAACTTACGTGGCTAATTTAATTCACTGTGCACAGTATCTCCTGTTTTTTGATACTTGTTCAGTAGGTTGGGAAGTGAAGGTTGCTGAACAGCGCTGAGTGTCTAGGAATTTAGACCAATTGGAAATCTTTGTATAAGGAGTTAATACTTGAATGTTCAGGTAACTGGTATTTAGTTAGGTAAGATAGTGACACCTGCATGACACTGGTACTTGCCCTAAGCAAGTGTATTATTATTCAGTGTAATAAGTGTTAGATTTTTGGCTGGTTTTCAAAGAGGATTTTTAATCTGTGTTCATGCATATCTCTCAATCTCTTTAGTCTATATCTAGATACAGAGCTGCAGTGGTCTGTGGCAGTACTAGTTACTTACCAAATGGATGCTGTCGTCAGGACACGGTAGCCTACTTAGGTTTCAGTTTTGTACAAAGAGGGAAGATCTGTTAGTGACTGAAGTCTAGCACAGGTGGTAGATTCATTAACATGCACCTGCTCTTTTGCAGATTCAGAATCTGAAAAATCATTAAGTGGTTTTGAAACAACAACAGCCTACTCGTTAGAGGACAGCATGGATTCAAAAGATACAATAACTTCAAGCATGTCTCAAGAAAAGGTTTGTGGCAGTGGGGAGTTGCTGTCTAATGGAATCAAAAAACACAGGTAGGATGTCGCCTGTTCTTAAGGTATTATAATATGCATTAATAGTAAGTAAAAGACTACAGAAATCTCTGAAAAGTTAACGGTGAAAGCTTTTAAAACTTTGTTAGGGATGATTGACAAGTAGTTGGTTGTGCTATGATTTTATAAGAATATCTTTCCAAGGCCAGTGTGCTCCTTTGTGTCTTGCTTTTTGGTGATCAAATCTGAATAAGTAAAAATAAAATATAACGTGCTATGTAAAAATGAACGCACTTGTTTTTAATAGATCTTATTGAAATCTATGTGGATTTTAATTCCTTCATGTATCTTTGATGATCTATGCCTCCTATTGCCTCTTTAATTTCCAGTCATTTGATCCTTCTATTGATATCAGGAATGAATGAAAAATATTGCTAGCCTGGCATCAGAAACTCAAATGTGAACAAAAGGAGCCTTATTCTAACAGGCTCATCCATGTTTTATGTCCTTATTTTGTGTTGTCAAATGATCCATTTTTGTTTGTTTCCTTGCCGATAAAGGAGGACAATAGGTCTGGAGTTAATGGTATGTAATAGACACCGCTATTCTCGAGTTTCAGTGAAGGACCAATATAATGTTTGTGCTACAGATCAAGCCAGACTTCAGTGTGTTTCAGAAAGACTACTTTAGAAGTGTTTTGAATGTGTGGAATGGTGATGGGTACACCAGATTTCTGTAAAAACAGGAACTTCATGTTTAATTTTACAGAAGCGAGCAAGGCACGCTTTAGTTGATATCGTAAATAGTTAAATTGCAGTGACTGTTGAAGTATGTGGTAATGTCAGAGACCTGATGTTTCAAGGTTCAGCCTCTGCATGTATATCCGTCCCATACTAGGCAATGACTAAGGCAAATGAGACTTGGGTGGAGCAATGGGGTGGTTTGGGAAGGTAACATAAAGCAGCTGACTAAGATGTTGCTCTGTGCTCTTGTGCTGTTAGCAAGGATGGTGTTTATGGATGGTGTTTATCTTTCCTAATCAGAGCCGGAAGTTCAGGAGTTGGGGGAAGCACTAGGTGCAGGTGGACATCTGAATTACATCCATTGCCTTGGAAACAGTGAGGAGAAAGGAGGCAATTAATGATCAATGTGAAAATGATGTGTATTGACATGCATTGTTTTGAAGAGTTTTAACAAGAATTGATCTTCTGTTTGCTGTAAAAAAGAAACAACTTTGCAAGTTTCTGCACTATGTTGTCAGAACTGTAGGGAGCAAGTGGCTGGAGAAGCGTTTAAGATCTGCTGATTTATAAAAGGGGGAATGAAGAGTAATAAACAAGTACCTCTGTAAGTTGTTTGAGTTGCATGTCTTTTAGTAGTAAAGAGAGTGGAGTAAAATCAGTGCATAAATTGGCTGGCTAATAATTTACAGCTAAAGAAAAGCAGGAACATCCGCTTTGCATATAGATAAGAAGGTATGGCCATATTTTATGTGACTAAATGGCTACAGAGCACTTTCTAGGTTGAGCTGTAATGTCAAGCTTTTTTACCTGTCACCTTGGTGACACACTGGGATTTGTCCACAAACATATTGATGCAAACTGTTTCTCCCCAGAGTTCAGCCAATTTAAATCTTACCTGCAAGAGAACATTCTCAGGGGATGGGAGTTGTGTGGTGTTTCTAGCCTTGCTTTTGAGGCTCTTGGTGGCAGCGATGTTTGGCCTGGTGTGGGATCTGTTTGCTGTGTCTGATTGCAGTTTGAACTTCAGAACTATTGCCTACCTGGAGCTGCTGGCTCCAGTTTGTGCCTTTTTTTGGTTTTGGGGCTTGTTAGCTTGTTAGAGGGCACGTAGTCAAATATGCATTGCCTGCGATACCACCTGTGTACTTTTCAGAGCAGAAACCTTAACTACTTGATGCTGTGCAAAGTGGAGGGTTCAGAATGCTTTGATAGCACTTAATTCCATCCTTGCACCCTTGAGTTTGCTATAACTTTTTTGTTTAAATTCTGTTTGTGTTAACCACATGGAAACAAGTCACTTAGAATAGATTAATTTCTTTTATGTAAAATCTTGATACCTTCCTGTAGTTTCTCTGAATAGAGGATCTGCAGCTGCATTTGGGTTGAGAGTACCTAACCCTGTTTAGCAGTCTGTATAAATAAGACTATTTCCTACCTTCGTCTAGAAAATGTGACTTCTAATCTTCCTCTGAGTGTTAAGAGTTTTGCACAGAGGTGGAGGTCAGTTTTTGATGGTGAATGTGTGTTTTTTTGGTTTTGGAAATGGAGGAATAAATCTGTTGGTTCCAAGGAATTAAAAGTGGTTAGATGTACAGATATAGATACATGAAGCCAGTGCCACTTAATCTGCTGCCTTGTTCTGTTTTTTTAACGTAGTTTCAGTCCTACTGATCGTTCATAGTGTTTGAAAGAATGTGGGTGATGCAATTTTCTTGTAGTTTAGATTGATTTGAGAGTGGACTTCATTTTTGGAAACTTTTTGGGAGATGATTTGAGAGATAAGAGAACAGTACATTAAATCCGGAAGCCTTCAAATTACTTCTTTTTAAGAGAATTTTAATCTGAGCCAGACTTTAAAAAAAAAAAAGGGAGGGACATGACACAAACAACCACCAACCTCTGCCCCAACCTTTGCACAAAAATGTTCTGTAATACTTGCCAAGGTTTAACATCCATTTATTACCGCTGTTTCCCTCTTATTGCTGAGTTTTTGTAGTCATCTTTCCCTTTGCTTCCTCCATCGGGAGCCTTTTAGAGTGCAAATGTGTTTGTGTTTGGCTTTTTGGGAGCCAGGAGGTGGTTTGATCAGGTTTACATGAAGCTCAAGCTAAACATGCCTTTTTCACACCATATATCTTCTTCTCCAGAAGATTCCTGTAGTAGCTGATCTGCTATAGACAATAGTTAGAATAAGTGTTTTTAAGTGAATGATACTAAATGCATCTTATCTGTTCTACTGCACAGAAATTTCAGATGTTTTTATCACAGCTAAAATTAGCTTCTTCGGTTATTTTTAAAACGGACATCTGGAAGGAAATTTTTGCATTCACAAACTTCCCTTAAGCACAGGGAGTGTGTTGAGGTTAGTAGGCCTCACGTCTTGGCTGCCTGGCACTTTTTCATGTGTCCTTACTTGTCCCTGGGATCCTTCCTGGTGACTTAGAACTGCTTTGTTTCTTCAGTATGTGGGTTATATGGAGAAAAGAACTGACTTCCATATCAGGTTTGGCTGATACCTGTAAGAAGTACAGATGAATGACTGAAACTGAATGCCTACTTTCAAGTAGTTAAACAAATTGAGTGGAGGAACAGGTTAACTTAAAATGTAAGTTCTATTGTGTAAGGAAAGCAATCTCTGTGTTTAGCAAATTAGAGGCATGTGAGTGTGTTTTACATGCAGAAGAGTTTACTTAAACACGAATACCCACTCTGCTAACTGCCTTCATTAAAGAAGAAATAAATAAACACTACAAATGAAGATAAGGCTGAATACTTGGTGGACGCTGTCCTCTCGTGGACATTTATATCAAAGCATCTACAGAAGTACTTTATGCTTAATATTATTCAACATGATCTGTTTCATGAAATATTTTTGTATCAGTGGAAAATCAGAATAGGGAGTGAGTGTTATCATGTTGATCAGTTAAAACAAATCCTCGTACCTGATTGTTACCTGTAAGGGAGCTGAGTAAAACAAGTCAGTGTTAGCTGTTTGCTACTTGCTAACAAAACGTATTTTGGTACCATGAGGAGTTCAGGCATATGACTAGGTTTTTAATGGAATGGGGCTTGTTGTATTTTAAGGAGCACTTTCTGGTTTTGTTCTGAAAACTGAAACCATCAGCCCTGGTAAAGGTGTTAAAGGTGTTTCAGTAGCAGATAAGTATGGGAGGTAATACAGCAAGTAGGGCTACTGAAACTAACAACTTAGCCTGAATAGATTTATTTCTTTTTATTTAATATTATTTTTTTCTTTTGGTGATGTTTCTGTTTATCAGAAAATTGGGGTGAAGGCGGCAGCCTGTTCACACTCTCAAAGTAGCTAAAGCAATATGTTTTTTAGAGAGGAGACAAGATCATCTTGATTAGGAGGGCAACACGACCATTTAGACAGAGTTAACTAAACTTCAACTCAAATAGCTCATGCAGTTTGAGTGAGCTGTAAGTAATTCTTACCTACTGAGAATTTTTCTCACTGGTAATAGCTTCGTGATCCAAACGTGAATTCTAGTGGTGCTGTGGACAAAGGGTTTTGACCTGTATTTATGCCTTTCTGTTGGTAAATTAGATTAATAGTTGAGCTGGTCAGTAGCGGTAAGAAAACTGAACAACATTTGTGCCTGATTCCTCGTAAAGCTGAGAAATACAGGCTGTACTAAACAGCCTAAATGTTAGTCTTGAAAGTATGTTTAAGACCTGCTTCAGGATATGTCAGGCCCCTATAGATCAGGCTGTTTTCTGTTCTTTAATGATGCTGCTTTTCCTGTTGGTTCTGAGGTCTGATTTTAATATAGGCAATAAGTGTAATGGCCCTTTATTGTCAGTACACAGGTGACTAGCAAAAAAAAAAACCCCGTCTTAACCCTCAGATCTGTTCAGACATAGTGAACATACCTGTGTACATACTTAGAAATAATTTTTTCTCACAAAGACACGACTAAGTATCTTAACAGTGCCATTGTGAAAATGCTGTTCTGATAGATGGTGTAGAAATTCTTTTCCACTGCTCCTACACAAAATAAAGGGAATGGTTCTGGTTATGTTTTTGGAGAAATTCAGGCTTCTGCAGGTAATTTGTTAATTTAAAAAAATTTGAAAACTGTTACTTTCAAAAAAAGCATTTGAGTTTTAGTCATGGTTAGTAATGGAAAACTTCTCTTACTTCTGGTTTCCTCCCTGTTCCTTTCTGCAGAACAAGCTTGCCATCTCCAATGTTTTCCAGAAATGACTTCAGTATCTGGAGTATCTTAAGAAAATGCATTGGAATGGTAGGTAATGAGAAAGCTACGATAAAAGATGTGAAGTGATTGTTTCATTTGAGGCCCAAATTAAAACTTGTTGTGGAGAGGGATTTTTATTTTTCTTTTAAATTTGCTGTTTATTTTGCTTGCTTTCACAACTTGAAGGTAAGATTTGTTCAGAGCAATATTCCTTCTGTTAAAGTGTTTTGTCTTGATTTTAACCCTTAAAGTACATTGTGGTAGCAAAAATTTTTTACTTTGGAAAGTACTTTCTTACTGTGGAAAACAACAAAAACAAAAACCCCAACTACTTTAATTTTGATCTTCTCCATTCCTCTGAGTATCAGTCTTCCCTTCCAAGGGTGTTACTGGCCAGACGGTGGCCAGATCAGAGTTTAGCTGGTTGGCACATAATCTGCTTCTAGCTAAGGGCGAATTGAGACTCGAGTTCTCTCCATAGATCCTGCAATAGGCTGAACATACTGCCTGCTGATAAGCCTCAGGAACCTAGAGAAGGGAATGTTTTCTCCTCTTCCCCTTGCTGTAGTTATCTCATTGCTGGTGCTGTTACTGTAGAAATGCTGAGGAATGCCTGTATCACCAGCTGTCTTCAGGGGATGTTGTGAAGCGTCTGAGGCTTCTCACAGAGGCTTTAGTGAAAGCTTCTCACAGAGGCTTTAGTGGAAAAGTGTTACAACCTTAAAATACAAAGAGCAGATTGAAATCCCATCTTGCATGAAGTGTGTACAGGAAAACAAACAAAAAAAATCCATGAAGGTCTTAATTCTGCTTTGCAGAAATTGCTGCACAGAAGTTGCAGTTTGAGGCAAGGAGGGCAGGTGGAACTTGGAGTGGATTGTACCGAAGTGTCTGCCAAAGCTGTTAGTGCCAGAGTTGCTATTGTGGTTAAGAACAGTGCTGTTTACTGCGCATGTTGCCAGTGGTAATAGTATATGCTTTTAATTTGCTAATGCAGGCTGTTTAAAACATTGCTATGTTATGCATTCAGAGGGCATGCTTTTTAAAAATGAGAAAGAGAATAAACAGCATCAGAACTGTAAGACTTCTTTCAAATTTTTATTCCCATTAAAAAAATTCCTTCTTTCTTCAGAATACAGAATTCTTGTTTTCATTCCTGTTGCAATGTTTCCCTGTCCTTTCTCATCCTCCTCTGCCTGCCTGCCCACCTGCCTCCAATAAAGATAATATGTTTAAGTAATTAGATGGCCTATATCTATTTTAAGAGTGATAAATAACTTGGTCTTTAAAAGGGTTGGTCCTTAATACTTCATTTCATTGTTTCATCTCACCTTCTTAATGCATTTGTGGATAGGAATTTTGTTTGGTTGGTTGGTTTTCTTGCTGTTTTTAAAACAGCCTTAATGACAACACATGTAGGCTTATCAAACTTGTAAGGGATGTACAAGGTTTTTTCCTTTCAGCATTAGTGGAGCCAGGTCAAGCATGTTGCATTAGCACTAAGAGCATCATTTATTTTTGTAATAAGCCAATTACACTTGGGTAACTGCAGGTCAGTGTATCTGATCATTTGGTTTTTAACACAAATTTCATTTGTGCATCAGGAGTTGTCGAAGATCACAATGCCGGTTATATTCAATGAGCCACTGAGCTTTCTACAGCGACTTACGGAGTATATGGAGCATACATACCTCATCCACAAAGCCAGCTCGCTTTCCAGCACAACTGAGCGAATGCAGGTACTTTGGGCGTGATAACTTGTGCTAGCTCTTGATGAATGCGTTGGGATTTTGTTCTTCATAAATAGTCTCATTATATGAGAAACTCCTTTAATTTGCTGCATGTTGGATTCTCTTTTTCACTAACCAATTTTGCTTATCTAGGATAATGTTTTGCTTTTCTTAAGGCTTGCTTTTTTTAGCTTTTTGATTAAAACTCTTTATTCCCCTGCCTTGCAAACAGAACTTTGCCAAGTTATTTTTGAAGAATTATTCTGTCATACTGTGACTGCTGTTGATACCTGATAAAGACTAAAATCCAGGAAATTAACTGTGTACTCTCTCTTTTGAACAAAATAGTGTGTTGCTGCGTTTGCTGTGTCTGCTGTAGCCTCACAGTGGGAACGTACAGGGAAGCCGTTCAACCCATTGCTTGGAGAGACGTATGAATTGATCAGGTAATGAATGGAAGATGCACTGAAGAGTAGAGTGGTGTTCTGTGTAACTGATGTTTCGATAGACTTGCCAGGTGGCTTGCAGACTGCTCTTTGGCTTGTAAGATTCCACCCATTCTCCTGGTGCTTGCAATTGTAGAATCATAGAATGGTTTGGGTTGGAAAAGACTTCAAAGATCATCTGGTTCCAACCTCCTACAATGCTGTTGGTGTTTAGCAGTGCACCTTCCAGTGAAGGGAAACTACTTTTCAACTCAGAGCAGGCAAACAAAATTCACCAGGTTTAAAAGCAAGTTTTAATTACAAAAATGACTTTTTTCTGAAACTTTCTGAATGAAAAGATGCATGATACGTAAGGAGGTGTTAGACTTCTAATATTCATTATATGACTATCCAGAACACAAAAAGGCAACATTAGTCTATTAGTGTGTAGCTGCACTTAAGGCAAATTTTTTGCTCAGCTGAGGCTTTGGCTTAGGTTTATGCAGAAGTTCAAGGGGTTACTATCAAAAGTAAGCATATTGGCTGGTCACATTTGGTAGTTCTTGTTACCTTTTTACATTATGTCCTCAGTTATTTAGAATTAGGATGTTCTATGTATTAGTTGATCTGTCTTTTTGTTTTACCCTCGGGTTTTAACTAACTCTTGCGCTGAGTACAGCAACTGCTCATGGGTCCAACTGTCTGTTTCACCCTTGGGAAAAGAACTACAGCTTCACTACACTTGATATGTAGATACATGCTTTTGATTATCTTTATTTTCCAGAGATGATCTTGGATTTAGACTCCTCTCAGAGCAAGTTAGCCATCATCCACCAATCAGTGCTTTCTATGCTGAAGGTTTAAATAATGATTTTGTGTTTCATGGATCAATTTATCCTAAACTCAAATTCTGGGGCAAGAGTGTGGAAGCAGAACCAAAAGGCACAATGACTTTGGAGCTTCTTGAGTAAGTTGATAAGTAATAATTGCATAGGCACAGTGGCCACATCTGTGATGATTAGTGTGCCTTAGAGTCTCATGGCTTAGGAATGGACGTATCTAAAACGCACATCCTAATGTTTGATGACAGATCACTTTGCAGGGAGGAGGGGATGAAAAGGTGACAGGAACTGCCATCATTTTTCCTAATATACTGCATCCTAATTAGCAGCAGTAGTTGGGGCTTGTGTCTGTATGTTCTGCAGATGCCTGACTGTCAGTCCTACTAAGACTGGCTCACTTGAGTCCTGTTGGCTTTCCTCATGTCATTCAGTGCTAACAGTGACCGAACTGAAGTGGCTGTTTTAAGGAATTGATAAAATCAGTAGCAATAGATTAATAAATTTCTTGGGTTTCCTGACTTACTGCCATGTCTGTTTCAAGACTTGGTGTGGTTTAGAGATGACAGCTTATTGCAGGAGTGACATCTAGTACAAAGATACAGTATTTTAATTTTTATTCCCCTTCCTTAGACACAATGAAGCCTACACGTGGACAAATCCTACGTGCTGTGTGCATAACATTATTGTGGGCAAACTTTGGATCGAGCAGTATGGAAATGTGGAAATAACTAACCATAAGTAAGTTAAAAGCGTGAGTGCTTTCACTTGCTTAAAGTTCAAAGAGGAAAAGCACTTGGAAGTAATTAGTATCCTCTTGTTCTGCTTTTAGAACTGG